ACCCTTGCAAGTCACAGGAACAAAGGTTCATCAGTTAAATTATTTCTTTTACAACAGTTATTCTTACTGGACAAACATAACACTTAAATAATGTGGGGTTTGTATCACATTTTGAAAGAGTTTTTTTTTCAATCTGAAATAGATGTGTGAGAGGTCTCTCTTGAGCTCAGGACCTGAAGAGAAACAGGACAGCTAAACAAAGTATTTTCGCAGTATGTCCCTTTGAAAAATAAACCCAAACCAAACAGTTATTTAATTTTCTAGTTTGTGCTTATAATAATAATAATTAAAAAAAAAGATACTATGGTAAAAGCAGCTTGATCTAGAAACTCCACAGACTTTTTGTATTCTGGGGTCAATGCATCATCTAAAGGGACATGGCAACAAGGACATCACATGGTGATCATGAGCAAGTGCTTGGGGGAGGGCTGCCCAAAGCTTTTTATCACACCTACAGTAAACCCATGGAAACTCATACCCCTGGCTAGTACTTCATTAAGCTTGATAGATTGGACCACCATATAAAGAGCTTGATGTATTGCACTTCTGAGGAATACCCGTATTGCTAGTCGAGAAAAGTTAGGACTAGTGAAATTTGACGAAAATAAGCACATCTTTCGTTTTCCTTGGTCAATGATGCTGAAAAGTGAAAACTTTCAGCTGAAGGAGACAGAAAGACTCCTCAAAAGCAGATTGTGTTCAAAAACAAATTCTGAAGGAAGATGATGGGCACGCAACCAGCAGATTTATTTGTATATGTTGCATCTATGCTAGTAACACAGCTTAAATGCCATGGGTTCATGCTGCTCCCCTGTCCAGTAAAATTGTCAGCGCACCTTCAGTATTACATTGGTAGGAAAGCAAAATCCAGCTTCACAGATGTGGTCTGTCTGCACATTCTCACTATGCAGAAGTTATTACTCCATCCCCAGGACTTTAGCAGGTTAGCAAAATGAAGACAATACACCTAAGAATGTCTTCATTATGAAAAATTATAAATCTTAGCTAATTTTGTTATTCCCAAAGCAAAAGCAGGTCATCCTTTCTTTTTAATGCAAGCAGCATCTTTTTATTTAAAAACTTCTAACAAAATTACATGTTGGGTTTTCAAACTTCTATAAAAATTTACCTTTTCTTGGACTGAAACAGGAAAATATACTCCTCAAAAGAGAGCTTTGCAAAGCTCTAAATATCTGAATTCAACATGTGTTAACAGATCACTGCAGTTCTTAATGACAGCAAACCCCAGAGATGCTTGCTACACTCAGGATAGAACAACAGTCCCATCTCAGTTCAGTATACATGACTCTTTTCTTTTTCCTTTCCTTTCCTTTCCTTTCCTTTCCTTTCCTTTCCTTTCCTTTCCTTTCCTTTCCTTTCCTTTCCTTTCCCTCACATCCTGGCCGACATTTTTCCCAAATTCCTAAGTTTCTTTTGTAGGAACCACAAGCCACTGTTGCAAGAAGGAGCTGGTCTGCTTGGGTTCTGTCCACTTGGTCTCTTAAGTTCTAGTCTGTTTTGGCTACTGCCTTGTTTCGCCAGTGCCAGACACCTTGGTTTACTGATTTTATTAAAGCTGATCTAACTGTGTGGTCCATAACTGACCCAATACCCTTGTGTACATGTAGGTGTGGCACTTGGGGATATGGTTTAGTGATGGACTTGGCAGTGCTGGGTTAACAGTTGGATTCAATGAACTTAAGGGTCTTTTCGAACCTCAGTGATTCTGTGACTGGGTGTTGGATCACTGAGACTGTGTAAAAAAAGAACCCAACCCAAAACAAAACAAAAAGCTCAAAACCTTGCTCATTAACATCTATTGAAGTCTCGCACTTGTCTGAGTGGGACCTCAGCTCTGCTGCGTTGCAGTAGGAGAGACAAGAATTTATTGTTTGTGATCTGATACCTCATAAGTACTGCCCAAAAGGAGGCAGTAGAAAAGTTGCTTAAATATCCCAGCCTGCTGAAGTGTTGATCCTGCACTGAGTTGTGCTCTCCCCCTGCCATCTGTTCAGTGAGGAGTCAGAGCACCATAATAGTTCTTCGTTTCAGCCTGCCAGATCGAAAGACACTTTTATCTGGGAGAAACATGCCCTCAGGGGGAACTGCTAAGAGATAAGCCTTCTGCTAAGACTGTGCTTGCTCACACGCTGGCATCGCACACAGCAGTCAGGGGTGCTGAAGAAAAGTGGGATTAGAGTAAAAGTGCTGACACGTGTTTGAATGAGACGTATTCAAGGCTGTTGGTCAAATAGCATGTTGCCTAAATTTGCATCTATTCCAGGTGCATGCCATGATCTGTCTCCACAGGGGGCAGGGGTGAGCCAAAGGGAAGCGTATCACAGAGTTTTCTTTTAGTATCCACAAATTTGTTTGCACAGCCACACACGAGCATGACCTTAGGTTACCATATGGACGGGGCATCTCTATGAGGTGCATCTTCACAGGCTGGGTGAGCAAATGGAGCACTGGGAAAGGATGCCAGCAAAGGAAGCCAAAGGCTTGCTCAACCGAAAGTGTCTACAGGGGTGGCTTCTTCCATCATACAGCCTCAGCCTGAAAGGACAGATTTTGGGCAAGGACGGCTATTGCTAGAGCTGTAGCAAAGCTGGTCAAAAGCCAGAACGGGTTCTTTGTGTCCATCCCACCATTTCCAATATTGGATTGTGGAAGTAGTAGAACAGTGCTACCTCTGCACCCATCCAGCTGCTTGTAAGGTTCTGCTGCCTGTTCTGTGGTGCAGCTGCATGACCTTGGATCTGACTGCTGGGAAAGAGCAGTGTGGGAAAGAGCTGGGGGAAACCTCACTGAGAGACTCTCCTCTTCCCTTGGGACCTGCCTTTAAGCTCAGGCCCTCAGTCTTGGTATTTGCATGAGCTACATAACAGCTGTATTTGTGCCTGGCACCTCACTGTCCCAAACCTTGACTCCACACCTGGATTCTGCCTCATTCCTCCAGATTTGTCTGGCCATCACTGATCTGCTCACTGCTCCTGTTCACCTGCATTCAGACCCTGTGACCATTCCCATTCAGGTGCTGCAGGACTGCACCCTGCTTAGTGACATGCCACCCTGCCCACCTTGGTGGTCACCACCAGCTCCCATACAGCCTTCCTGTGGGAAGCATTCCTCTTCTGCTGCTCCCTGACGCCCTTAAGAGCTCTGCTGCAGCTGCCTGCTTCATCACACCAGCTGATGGTGGGGACTCAGAGCAGGATAGCTAAGCCAGGTTCCATTTCACTGTTTTAAATCCACTGGCTTTAAGGACCTGTTTCTGATGCACAGTAACCAGAAGAGAAGCACTAGTTTGAACATAAAGGGTGGGAAAATCTTACTCATTTATCTTTATCTTCATTATCAGTTTTGTTCCTTGCAATGCATTCTCCAGACATGTGTCTTTCTCATCTTCACATGTCCGAGGAACTGGAAGTTTTGCAGTTTCCTAGGAAGACTATTATACTGCTTAAAAGAAATTCTTAGCATTAGGAAATACTAAGAAAGCAAGCATCTTCTGGGGAAAAATATGTAATCAGAAGCCTGTGAACTGAGCTGCTGGCACGGTCATGGTTTCTGTGTTAAGCTACCCAGCTCTCCCATTGCCAAACACATAAGGACCACAGAAAGCTGTAGGAACTAGGATATCTGAGGTGACATGCCTGTACATTTTCATCCCATTGAAGATTCTTAGAATCATAGAATCATAGAATAGTTAAGGTTGGAAAGGACCTTAAGGTCATCTAGTTCCAACCCCCCTGCCATGGGCAGGGGCACCTCACACTAAACCGTGATAGGCTCCTAAGCAGCTTGGGGACCTCCACAGATATACATGTTGCCTTGTGGTTTGTTGCAATTGTGCTAAAGGTGTATTTCACTATTACCACCCATTAAATCTTGGATTAAACATTAATAGAAGTTCATAAAGATATTTTTCTCTTTAGGGAGAACAATCTTTGTGCAGTTCATGAAGACCTGATATTCAATGATATTTTTTTTTTGAGGTTTGACCTGTATAACAGATAGTTGTAACAAAAGAATGAAGTCCCATGCAACCACTTGTTTTCTTATTTTGATGACTAACCCAACCTCTTCTGGTTGTCCTCTAATATCCTTCCTGTTTTAAGGCTATGCACTTGTTATCTCCTATTGGCATTAATGCTGAAAGAGGGAGATAGAAAAGAGATTTCTTTTCAAGGGAATGCAGTGTGTGCCTGGAAGCCCCTCGTCCAGTCACTATCCAAGCATTGGAGGGTGTGTTTCTTTAAGGCTGGTTATGTGTTCATGTAACAGGGCAAGTGCATACGTGAAACAAGCTTTTGCTGAAGCTTTAAGTCTGCGGGGGAATTTTCTAATGATCGTTTTTAGTTAATAGGCACAAGTTGTTAGCCTGAGCTGGGAAAGCCTTTTTTTGTGTGTGCCAATTCCACCCCCTCTTTTTTTTGTCATGGACTTAGTTCCCACAGCTAATGCACCTAATAATGAGACTGGGCAAGCGAATGCCAGCGTAATGATATGGAGCTTGTTTGGCTCTGACAAAGAACACGGAGAGCGGCTGGATGGCCTAAAACACAGGCCAAGGGCTCTATTCATCCCAAATGATCTCTCTCCTTGCATGCCACCAAATCCCACAGAAGGAAGGCTGCACGGCCAGGCTGCACCTCAGGATGGGAGAGGTGTCCAGCAGGGACTCGGCTGTGCCCCACAATGCCCCCTGAGCCCCTGGCGTGGGGCTTTTCACTAAATGGGGGTCGAAACAGAGAAACAATCAAGGGTTAAGCCCTTGAATGAATATTTTAATCAGTGTTTCCTAACACACATACACACCAACCGGTTGCAGGGAGGGAAAACATCCTTTAAAACTTACCAGACAGGTTAGAAGGACCTTGCTCAGCTCCAGCTCCCTCAGCTTCGGTGGAAAGCAGGGGGTGGTATTCTGTCTTTTTAACTAGCATTTTCCCATCAGTGGTTTTCCCATCCCCTTACCCTCTTTCTTCAGGCTGAGTTAATAAACACCTAGCAACTTACTCCATGGCGTCTGTGTGCAAACAGCTCCCACTGAGCCAGTGAAAACTACTCCCGCAAGAATTCCATTAGATCCTTTTCCGCCTCGGCCTCCCAGAGCACTCCACAAACGAAGGTGATGTTCCTGCGTACAGTTGTGTTTCACGGATCAGGCCAGCCCAAATCCTTTCCCATGGTTCGTGTCCTGTCAGTGACTGAACTGATGGGACATGAATCGAGTGTCCTAACTTCCAATGCTATTTCTATGTCTTAGCTTCTTCAGTTTTGCATTTGCTGCATCCCACCAAATCCTCCTTAACTCAAGGAACCCTGAGCATGCAGGAAGAGCAGGTTAAATCACTGTGAGCATGAAAGACATTGGGGTGGCAGCAGTTGAAAGCTAGTTGTGTCCTAGAAGACGCCATAAAGACTCCTCTTTAACAGGCATCAAAACAGAGGAAATTATTGTGGGCTAAGCCTTGAGGTGATAGTCAGAAACATTCTGTAGTACATAAAATATTTTCTAATTGCACATTTTCACATAGTTTATATTTTTCTGAAAACTTTTCTTTTTCCAGAAAAGTTGCCCAATATTTTAAGAAGAAGAAAAAAGAAACCAAAATCTGTTTCATCATCTGTCGGTCTTCCCTCAAGGACAATGAACTGGAAAAAAGTCCATCTGATACTCTCATTTTGTTCAACCAGAGTTTTTTTAGGAGCAAACAAGACCTTTTTTAAGTAGCTCTATGGATAAGTAATTTGAAAGAAACCACTAACTTTAATGTATCTTACTGCTTACAGAATATCTGCCAGCAAATGATCATATTCTCCATACTGTACAAAAATATTCAGCACTGAGGAGATTTATGAGTAATTTACATCCCATTGCATTATTTTAAACAGATTTGCTAGAGGAAATAAGTTGCCTTGGTGCAATTGGTCAGCTGAGTCTATGGCATATGTTTCTTGTCCCCAGCTGGATGACCATGTTTCCCCTATGAACACGAATGTGCGTGTGTGGAAATACTGACCTATGTAAAGTTGAAATGTGTATAGACTGGTTGTTTGTCATAAATAAACTTAACCGTGTGAATGCTCACTGACAACTGAAACGAGTGGAATAATAGTTTGGCTGAAGCATATTCGTATACAGATTTTAATGAATGCTCATGGAAGAACATTTGCAAAATCAATTAGACCTGGAAGTATCTGGTGAGATGCTTTTACGTACAACCAGCACTTGGGCACATTAACAGGACCTCTGTAAAACTGCCTTGCACACTAATTATGATTTTGTTATCAGGCACAGGATAAATGCCATTACACAGACACATTAGGTTCTTTGCTTTTCTGTGAACTAAAATACCAATTCAAGCATTGCCTGTGGTTATGACAGGCAGGTAGATTTCACACGAGCTTATGGATTCCGCTTTGCTACTACATGCTCTAGAAGGAAGCTCTCAAGAAGCGATAGTCTTAGCTTAGAGGTAGTATTGAGGTGTAGCATTTTTACTTTTTTAAAACAGAGCCTTTTACTGTACACTGTGAAAACCCCTATTAGCATTTTCTTTTCAGATGCTTTTCTGCACCACAGCTGCTATGACTCTGCAGTCAGGAAAGCAGAACTGGTGTGACTGCAATTCAGGAAAGAAGTTGAAAAGAGAGAAGAAAAAAAATAGGGCTGTTTAAGACAGCTAGAAGAAAGCATGCCAATTAAATTTTTAAAGAGAGACAGAGGGTAGGAAGAAAAAAAAAAGAGCTAAAAAGCTGGAGGAACCTGGGGAAAGTTGGGGAGGGGAGAGGGGAAGGAGGACAAGAAAGCCATAGAAATAAGAAATGGGAGGAAGGATGAAATGAGGAAAGTTCGGGGACTGTACAGCAGCAGTGCACATATTGAATGCAATTACTGAGGGAGAAGAAGGAAAGGAGAACCAGAAGAAGACATATAACGGAACAAGGAAAGCAAAGTCCATGCAAGGAAAGAAGGGAATCCACACCAAAAAAAGAGAGGAAGTGAAGAGGAACACGAACAAGACAAGAATCATTTTTTAGAGCAGTGCCATTTTATTGAGGCAAGGAACATGCTGCAGAATTGTGTTAATGCTGCAAATTGTGTTAATAATGCAGTGGGTTCCCTGCATGTGCTCAGCTTATATATTTAATTTCAAATTGAAGTGCTCAGGAGTTATTTAAGATGCATTTCTTGGATTTGGCAGCATGTTTCTGAAAAGACAATCTGATACTAAGATCAGTTTACTGAAACAGACACAAGAAGACTTATCCTTCATCATAATTATGTCAGAGTGAATACTAGGGCATATGCTAAGAACACACCAGTGTTAATATTATTTTAGAAAATCCTAAATAATTTGCTACAACCTATTAAGCTCGTACCATGAAGAAGCATGGCTCATTCAGTCCTTAGGACAAGCTTCATGTATTTTTCAACACAGATCCTTAACTTTACTCACAAATAATTTAATCAAAGATTATGTGATTTCTTGTGCCTTATGACTAAGCACACACAGAAAGCTTTGCCAAGTCAGAACCCAGACTTCCTGCCACCAAATCAGCCACTTTCCATTAAAACCTTCATAACTGTAGATTAACTCTCAGGCATTAAATGATGGATCACATACAAATGTTCATTTTCCTAACTATACATTATTACTTCTGTAAGAAAGTCTCGGAAGTTAGGGCTGATAAAAATAAGACTGGAAGCTTACTGATATTAGCAAGCCTCACAGTTATGCTCAAAGCAAGGGAAAGATGGAGCTTTTCTTCTTCATATGGTGATTAAGGAGCAACATCAGAAACAAGAGAATAAATATATCTCAGGAACCATCCCCTACAGGCACACATTTCCAACAAGAGGTGTTAGAATACAAAGTCCTGTTTTCAAAATTCTCTAACCTACTAGATATCTTCAATTCTAATAAAAGTCAGAGATCTGTTCTCCTTACATGCCATATATTTTACTCAGTCATTACCCTTGTATTGCAAAGGAACTTGATACTAAACCCTTGAATGTGATTGTTTAAGCTAAATTTTTCTGCTGTGTAGGTGTTTAAGAACAAAGATGTTCCACGTGGGATTTAGAAAACCCTGGCAGAGAGGGACCATCAAAAATTATATACCTTCCTCTCAAAAGTACCCAAAGCCAAACATGCGAAGAGGTGTGTGCAGATGGACTTGTGCACACAACCAAATGCATAATTCATTTGTGGTGGAAGAACTTTGACTGTTCTTCCTATCCTGGCAACCATAAATCCCCACTTCCCAAGAGAGGAGGCCCACAGTCACACATGTAGCATATACAGTTTGAGAATTTTCCTTCTTTGAGGAAAACCACTGAAATACTTCATACAATTTCCTTTGTTTTCTGAGGATATCACGGCAGCACAAAGACACCCTTTACAGGACAACTAAACAGTAAAAGAAAATCAACCATCATTTGATAATAGTGTTACACTCTTTGAAGACAGATGAGAACACCAGCCCATCTAAGCCAGCCCTATTACAAACCTTCAACTTCCAGCCATTCCTTAACCCTGATTTGTCAGAGAAGAATGAAACTTGGTTGCAGAATCAGAGCCTTTGAACACAACACACACACACCCCAACACCACACTTCAGTTTCCAAGAAACCACAGGTTTTTGTAAGCAGCACCTTGCTTTGATTTAGCTTTTCTTATCCAGAATTTTCAACTTCTACCAGTAAGATCAGTGCCTTCTCCAGTGCATGGGCAGGAAACCAGAGGGATAGGAAGCCTGATTAGCCCCAAAATGATACTAAGCTTGTGCAATTTTTCTATGCTCAGATATCTATATGGAGTATAGATACATGATCTATTTCACTTCTGTGGCACCAGAAAAACCTGAGAATTCTTTTTTACCTGTCTCATATTCACTGTCTCTTTTCTTCCTCTCTTCATTCTCCACTGACTTTAAACATTTTTACCATTACAATACAAGTTAAGGGTTTGAGTTAAAAGACCTGTACTGCATAAGCAACCCTGTGACTGCAGGTATCAGCTAGACCTTCACATGTTATAAATTAGTATGTATCTGCTAATGATTAGGGCAGTTTAAACAATCTGAAGATCCTGTTAACTTACCACCAAGTTCCTTTGCAGTAGGAGGACAATAATTATTGAGTATAATACGTGGTATGCGTGGAGCACAAAATTTCCAGGCATTAATGATTCTTGGAGGATGCTGTAGCACTCAAATGAAAATGAGTCATTACCTTAAAACAGTATTAGGGAAAGAGCTACTTCTGTTGGTTTGAGGTTTGCTAAACTAAAACATATGTTGAATGGAAGCACTGGCTCTGAAGTGGACGTCTCCAACATAGCTGGAATCACCGCACAGCCATGTAAATGTCTTGCACACTGGTACCAAGAATAAATATTTATTAAGCCTTCCTTAAAAAATGTAACAATTGTTTTGCTTATCACTATTGTAGGTTGCAGGATGCCTTGTATAAACATTTACATTTTCTCATTGTTCCCACCAGTGAGCATTTGAATTTCACCGTAAACAATGGCTTTGCATTCAGTGGGGAACGTCAAGCTTCATATCCTACTGGTGGTGGTACGCACGGCCATTCACATTGCAAACTTGGGTGCAAGCGGTCAGCCCACTGGCAACCTCATGGCTAAGGTGAGGAATTTCTCCAAGGAAAGGTGTCTCCAGGTGAGCCAGGGGTAAGGCTGCAAGACTTTGCTCATTTCACCTTCATTGCAGTGTTCATTGCAATGTTGTGTGTACCACAGTGATGTGACACCGTACATCCCCTCACTCCTGGCAGGAGTAGCTGTGCTGTAATACCATTTAAAGCAGCCATTAAATGTCAGGATTGAAGTTGTACTGCCTGCAGATGACATTTCTGGGGCTCCATCAGATTTCCTACCCAACTCATTTTAACCACATCCTGGTGTCACAGGAAGGGAAAGGGAGGCAGCTTCTGTGCCCCCCGTGCCTGTTTCAGGGAGCCTCTGAGTTACAGCTGCTTTGGAGGCCTCTTTTTTAGCCAGAGAAAAAAACCTTAGGATCAGACTGTCAAAGGTATGCGGGCACCTGAAGGCATAACCAAACACCCACAGGATTTTTCAAGAGCACCTCAGCTGCCTC